AGCCATGGCTGGCTGGGGAATTCTGGGAGTTGAAGTCCACACATCTTAAAGTTCCCAAGGTTGAGAAACACTGCTGCAGTGTGAAAAGCAAGCTTTTCTTTGATAGCTTGTATAGAGCTATGATTGAGTTCCTTCTTGCATATTAATTCAGAATAGCATTATAACTGTAAGTAATCTGTTGAGTTGAGTTAAGGTAAAGTCTCCCTCAGGTTCTCAGTTCCTGATGTATTTATGAATGCGTCCATGTAGTTTTCGTGGCCACAGCATGATTTTTCTACCTTCTCAGCCAACGTTCTTGATGGTTTCTCATCTAAACAGATGTAACCTGGCATACCTTTCAGTAAGCAATCCAGGTTGCTCTCTGAGAAAGCCCATTTCGGCTTTAAACCTGTAGAGCAGGAGATGGTGGCGAGATGGTCCCAACCCACAGGAACCAAGCTAACATGCATTTAATTGTTGTATACCACCCAGAGTTGCTTTATGTGAGATGGGCGGCTGTATAAATGTGATAAATAAATAAAAAGAAGCCAACCCTCAGGAGATGATTTTGGAAGAACAGGTCTCAGCTTCTGAAAAATGAGATTTATCTTCTGCTGTTGTTCATCAGACTTATGAAAGCAACAGCTACATCTCTGGAGCAGGCCTCAAACCACCCGTCAAAAACGGAAGCCATTTTAAGGGTAGCTAGCAACAATTCCAGTCTGGTGAGGTAAAGCTTCTGTCCAAAGACATTGGAAGTGGTGCTACATGGCAGCCGTGACTTGTATAGCAGTCTTCAGTCTCTTGTAATATTTTATTCTTACTGTTCTTGTGAGGACAATGGCAATGACTGTTGTATGCCACTCAGAGTCCCTTTTAGTGAGATGGGCGGCTATATAAATTTAATAAAAATAAATAAATAAATAAGTAAGGCATAAGGGAGTTGTTAATACAGATGAGAAAAGCGATTTGCCCAACAAAACCCATGGAGCTGATACTGGTCTGCTCCCCAGTCACTTGCTGTCTTCAGGCTGTAAGCTGCTTCAGTCAGATGGTCATCCTTGTGCAATGCCCTCTTCACATGCAAATGTTTGGTGGTACCAAGTTTCTGAATAGCAGCTCAGGGAAAGAGTGCAGAAGTGGCTTATGAGTCTCACAGAAAGCCCATGGGGCAGAGTAGACAATCTGTGGCATTCCTGATGTGGCTAAACTATAACTCTCAGCATAGTTTACCGTTGGTCATGCTTTGTAGGTATGCTCAGAGTTGTAATTCAGCCTGCCATAGGTGGCCTACTGTTTTTATTTGGCTTCAGGCAGGTAATGGTTAAAGATTAATTGTTTTGCGGGAGAACCCTATTTTGATGCCGCTGCTGCCAAGTACAAGCAGGAAGCAGATCCTGTCTGTTAAATATGAGAGGAGGTGCATGAGCTTGGGGAACTACAAAAAGCAGTTGAGATCAAGAATAGATGGATATTTTGAGAACTGTGTCAACACATGTTGGTACAAGCTTTGGCTGAGACACCCTCTGTTTGTTTTGGGAGTTTAGAAGCAGGATTGGTGAGGAAATTAGCACCTCTTCCTTTAGAAACTAATCACCAGGAATGTGTTGATTTTTGAAAAATCTGTTTGAAAAAATTGTTGAGGTTTAACATGAGCTTTTGACTCATTAATTACTGTGGTTCGGGCAACCTGAAATGCATATAATGCAGTACAGTATTCAGAGGAGGCCTAGAAAGGAAAATTTGGTACCAAGGCATTGGACAATCCATGTGAAAAAGCAAGCAACGTTGGGCCCTTCCACACAAGATGGTTTCTACTCCCCAAACTTTCACAAAGCAGTCTCAAGCCAACCTGCAGGAGTCCTCACTTTTGCAAACACCAAAAGCACCATGAGCCAATTGGGGCTCACATCTAACTGCCTGATAGGAGTTTGAAAAAAATGCCACCCCACCTAATTTCTGCTCCTTGAGCTACTGCAGATCCTGGAGCAACAAAATGTTCTGTCAGTCTTGCAAGGTAGGCCAGACAAGAAGCACACCCGGAAGTACTAGCTCTCACTTTATTGTAAGGTTACATGAACAGGATCTTGCAAGTACATCTCTCCCCCCTCACCTTTACAGCCCAAGAAACTAGGGAGGGTCTCTTCTGAGACATTTGCCATGCCCCCTTCCTTCTGTGGACTCAGCTGCCTCTTGTCTGATTGTTGCCTACTCTATGGCTCTTCCTCCCATCTCCCAAGGTCATTCCCACATACCATTACTTGTTCTCATTGCCTTTTCTTCAGAAAATAAAATAAACCCCCACCCCAATTTACATTTCAGTACATATGTGATTTCTCTGACCATTTGAAAACAAAAGCAAACAAAAATCTAAGCAAATGCCATGAGGGAAAGCTGCATGCAGAATTGCCATTCCTCATAAAAGCCTTTTGTAGGTTGGGAAGATAAAATTATTGTATGTCAGTGTTTCTGGATCCACAGGTTTTTCACAATAGCAACCCCCATTGTTGCATGTTGCTTCAATAGATGGAATTGGGGGGCGGGGGGGTGGAGATACTAAATGATGCCTATACAAGCCCTAGGGGAGTTGAAGCTTGAGGCCCATTGCCAGAGTGAAGCAAGAGTTCCTGCCATTAAGAAGAGTGGCCCACCCACTAGCTCTGCAGAGCTAAAACATTGCCAAGGGAAAAACTCGCCTACCTTATGTTTTAAATGAATTGGTGGAAACTAAATTGACTCAGCCCTGCAAATTAGTTGACATTGTGAGTTCAGATAGGGTTGAACTGCTGGAAAACTTTTGTGTAGAGGTGCCCTCTATCAAGTCCATATGGGTACTGGTTGTCTCACTATGACTGAAATGGGACAAGGAACTTGCAAGAGGAAATAAGGGACAGCTTTGAGCCAGCTTAAAGTGATATGGTGGCATAATTTTTTTGTGTATGTTGAGTTCAATGATTACTCAGTTATATAGCTGATAAAATGAGACCAATTGTAAATTAGTTTTGGCCTCTTCCAGGTGTTGTGGACTTCAGCTCCCAGAAGTCTCATCAACTGCATGCTGGTTGGGGGGCAGGAAAAGTTTGTTTGTATACTACCCCTTGAGTATTGCATCAATTTCTGTAATATCTTAACCTGCAGGGGCCAAACCCATTCAAGAGCTAGAATAGGAAGCAAGTTAGTGTAGGAATATCCATCAGGGCAGTTTTTCACTGTTCCCCTTAAGTGTAGTTGGTACTTTGGGGAAAATGTACTGGACTGAAAACTGCTCCATACCTTGAGTAGCCAGGTTTGAAAAAAGACATGTCTCCTGCACCTTTAAGATGTATGCGGAAATTAGAATTTGAACAGCTCTAGCAAGCAAACTAGGCCTACTCACATTCTCTCTTTTATTCAGCTTATCAATAGTACGTTTATACTTGGCATCCAATCCATGATCTTGGTGAATTGATCCTACACATAGCTTAGAATTGAGCTGCAAGTGTTTGAACTACAGTATCACCAGATGGACCCCAAGAGTTTTCCTGTATCTCTTTGCTGCCATCTAGTGGTCGTTCAGATATTGATTGCACAGACCATGTTTGGTGAAATTGACAGAACTTGCTGAGATGGCCAAACTGGCTTCTTTGATTAGGTAGAGAAAGACCATTATTGACATTCATGAATGACTGGAAAACCTTTATGGACTTTTTGCGTAAGAGAGAAAATTATTTTGTGACTTATGGTTTTGATGATCAGAAAGAATAGGTTATAGAAAGAAGGGAATTATGATGTAGTCTTAGAGAGAGAAGTTTGGTTAGAAGTGTATGTATGAGGAAGATCAGAAGCCACTTCTTTTTTTTTTAATCCCCTCTCACCCCTACGGGTGGTGTGTGTCTTCCTCAATCTCGGGCCCTCTACCAGAGGCCTGGGAGTTTGAGGGTTCTGCGCAGGATCTTAGCCGTTCCCAGCACTGCACTCTTCCGGACAGAGAGCTCTGATGCTGTTCCTGGGA